CGAAACAACTTGATGGCCTGATTTTGCTGATATGGCAAATGTTCAACACAAAAGGGAAAGTGGCCAAGCCCCTGGAGACACCCCGTCCGGCAGCATATCGCAGGCCATTTGCGTTATATCATCAATGGATCCGACGATGTTGCCTTTTTGGAAAGGCAAGTCAATCCTGAGAAAAGTCGTCGGTTTCTATTCCGTAGTACAAATGGGAAACGCGTCTCAATTGGCGAGTGCGCGGTCTTGGATGGTCTCAGACACTCCGACAGAAGTGGGGTTTGGTTGGGGATATGTGAAGAGTAGCTCACATGACCGGTTCTGAGGGATGGAATTCCCGAGGCGGCCACCTGTAACTCTTAGTGCCTGGTCTTGTTGATGATGGGAAGGTTTCCGCGAGAGACTCCCTTCCAACGACTCAGCGACAAACTTTCTGCCCCCACTACTGCCTTTGGCTCCCCCACAGTCGAGATCTAGATCTGTGGGGAAGTTCTCTCACAGTTTGGCTTATCTGCGGATTGCGTAGCCGACAATGTGATGTGTGGTAAAAGAGCTCGCGGTCAATTACCCAGTTGCGAAGAGGTGATATGAGATGACAAGCCCAGGGGTCCTGCCAGTCCACCTGGCATCGGTCTAGTGTGCTAACTATGTGATATTAGCCCATACGTTCATTTTCCTCTACGGGAAGTCGTATCTAAGATTGAGCGGTGTCGGCTGCGATGTGGCTTGCTTGACCTGTGGGGTTGAACGTGGGAATTCAAAGATATAGCTTCATCTCTGCCCTCTCCCATTATCTTGACGGTGAGCTTTCTCTTCAATCATCTCCAAGCGTTTTATTCAGACGAAATTTTCATTGTAGCATCGTTCGCAGCTTGTGCATTTCCGTTGCATTGATTCTCTCTAATTTGTTAGCATTCCGTTCATTGTCTCATCAAACTATGGCAAACCGCGGTGTCACCTGGGACCCTTTGGTCCATACCATCCAGGATCTGAAGGAGCTGGGCAGCAAGAAGCTGCCCAAGATGTACCGGGACTACTTCAATGAGGGAGCTATGGACCTCGTCAGGTGCGCAATTGATAGAAATGGGACTTCAAAGCGACGCTGACTGACAATTGTTTTTCCCCCGGCAGTTTGAAGGACAATGAGGAGGCATACAACCGCTACAAGATCATTCCCAGGATCCTGGTCAACGTTGATAACATTGACATGAGCTCAGAGATTCTCGGTGTCAAGGTACGGCACATGTTTCATTTACCCGAGCGTTCAGCTGTATTCTAATGTATAAACCAGACCTCATTTCCTCTCGGATTTAGCCCTGCTGCTATGCACAATTTAGCCCACCCTGATGGCGAAATTGCAACATCCCGTGCTGCCGCAAAGATGGGAATCGCCATGGGCCTTTCTTCATACGCCACATCGTCCATGGAAGATGTTGCGGCAGAAGGCCTAGGAAACCCATATGCCATGCAGCTTTGCGTTCTACGTGATCGAGAAACCACCCTGCAGATCTTAAGAAGAGCAGAGGGTAAGTTTTATCCTCGTCTGGCAGGAAAGGGGCCTTCCACTAATAACTTATCGCTTAGCATCTGGATACAAGGCCATCTTCCTGTCCGTCGACACACCTCTGCTGGGTCGCCGCCTGAACGAGTACAGGAACAACTTTGTGCTCCCAGACGATATGGCTTGGCCAAACCTACTCTCCAATGGCAAGGACGAGCTCAGCGGACGATATGGTCAAGCTGTGGACACCGGCGTATCGCGCTATGACTTCGGTGAGCAAAGAACTCTTTTTCTACTCGGAAGATTCATGGGTCACTAACGATGATAGACCCTTCCCTGGATTGGGATACTGCTATTCCCTGGCTGCGCAAGCACACCAAGCTCCAGCTATGGTTGAAAGGAGGTATGTGGCATGGTCCCCCTGATACTCGAAAGGTCTGGCCTATCTAAATGCTGATGCGACGTTTCTTAGTCTACACACCCGAGGATGTCACCACGGCCATCCACTACGGTCTAGATGGTGTCATCATCTCCAACCACGGCGGTCGCCAGCTGGATGGCGTCCCTGCCACTCTCGACTCTCTCCGAATCTGCGCTCCCGTCGCCGCCGGGAAGATCCCCATCGCCGTCGATGGTGGCATTCGCCGCGGCACCGACATCTTCAAGGCGATTGCCCTTGGCGCTTCTCACTGCTTCATCGGTCGCATTCCCATCTGGGGATTAGCTGTAAGTCTACGCGCGACCTTATAGCTCGAACTTATCGCTAACCAATTTGTCGGCAGTACAACGGCCAAGAAGGTGTCGAGCTTGCCGTCAAGATTCTCATGTTCGAGTTTAAGCTTGCAATGGCCCTTGCCGGGTAAGTTCAGCAGAGACCTTCATCCTATGACAGACAGCTAACCCATGGAGCAGCTGCCGAACAATCAAGGACATCAACGCCAGCCACGTCGCATTCCTCAACAGCAGCGGCATTCTGTCAAAATTGTAAATCAAAATATGTCTTAGGCGTCCATAGATTTCAAATTGTAAAGCGAACTTCATCTTATTCCAAACCTGTGCCAATTGTAGGCAATTTATGAGACACATGTTACCTACAACGTGAATGTTATGATGCTTCTTGTGATCCTCATACAAGTTCCCCTAATTAGGTTTTCTCAGGTACCTTCTCCTCCTTCTTTACGAACATTGGGAATCAAATAGGTGAATTTCCCCTAAATTTGGGGTCGCAAGAGAGTGAAATTGAGACAGCAATGAAATCGATCAACTCCGTCTACATGATACGCACTGAAACGCCCCGGTGCCCATTGCCGCGTGGGATCGATCGGGAACAAGACCCGACATTCTCAGATACGGTGCCTGAGTGCCTCGGATTGCCTTGCCTTTTTCTCGTGGCGAGACAAAAATAGCTCACTAGCAGCTACATAGCCATTCTCTAAATGATACACCAACCAGCCGTAGGTAGTGCCCCAGTCACGGAACATGCAAGATAACATATCGGCTGAGATCAACACTCGCTATGGCTCCTGCCAAGGGGCATAAGAGCACGGGAATATGCACACCTGACCCTTGATGGGTGGGAGAGGCAATCTAAGATTGATCTCGGCAGACACTTCTCGATCAACCGCTTGCAGCTGGTGTCCACTCAGCCAGAGCGGCTCAAACCTCCACTTCTGAAACGGCATGTCTCCGCGAGCTACTTGCCTGTTCCAATATTCCCAGTTAGCAGCCTGTGCGACTCGTCGCTATCGCCATCCCAAGGCAGTTGCCATGCGGACTCACTGTCCCTTCGTCTTTGCTTCCGTCGCCGAGCGAGCTCCGTTTGGCTTCATCCCCTCTTTCACCCCGCATCGCCTTCTTGTGATGTATGGTGCGTTATCGGTGATGTTGCGATCAAAATCTTAATAAAGAGCAATCAAGTGCCTAGATTTTTCAAGTCTCTCTTATTCTCTATTCTATTCCAATTCATTACTTTGCATTTTCCAGCTTAGTTTCTTTCATACACAAACCATTCACAATGGCTCCTCAGGATCTCACGGGCGTCATGGTGGCCCTTTACACTCCCTTCAAGGATGACACCCGGGCCATTGACGTCGAGGCCCTCACTGCCCACATCGAGTCCCTCATCCAGGCTGGTGTCCACGGCTTCGTCCCCGGCGGCAGCACCGGAGAGTTCACAGCACTCTCCTACGACGAGCGCAAGCAGCTCATCGAAGTTGTACTCGCAGCCACCAAGGGCCGCGTCCCTGTCGTCGCCGGCATTGGCGACCTCTCCACCGCCAAGGTCCTCGACCTGGCCAAGCACGCCGCCGAGGCTGGCGCTGCCGCCACCATGATCGTCCCTCCATTCTACGACAGCCCCAACCTGGAGGAGCTCCGCGAGTTCTTCAAGGAGGTCTACGAGGTCTCCAAGATCCCCATCATGTACTACAACATCCCCAGCGCCTCCGGTGTCAAGCTCTCCCCCACTGAGCTCGCTGGCCTCTCCGACGTCGGCGTCAAGTTCCTCAAAGACACCTCCGGCGACGCCCCCTCTCTTACCCAGCTCCTCTTCGAGGACGCCGTCTCCAGCAAGATCGTCGCCTTCAACGGCTGGGACACCCTGACCTTCTACGGCCTCGCCGCCGGCGCCAAGGGCTCCGTGTGGGGGACCACCAACATCCTCCCCGAGCTGTCCGTCGAGCTGTGGAACGCGGTCGCCGTCAACGGCGACCTCAAGAAGGGCCGCGAGATCTGGGCCAAGATCTACCCCCTATGCAAGGTCCTCGAGTCCTACAACTACTGCGCTGGCGTTAAGACCGCCATGGAACTCAAGGGGGTCAAGACTGGTGGCATCCGAAAGCCCTTTAAACTGCTCACGGGTGATGCCAAGGCCGAGCTTGCTGCTGCGCTCAAGATTGCCGGCGTCAAGCTGGTCGAGTAAAGAAATCAAATAAAGCAAAAATAAAACGATATGAATTTAGCATGAGTAGATAGATAATTGGATATGAATGAGATAATATTCTTAACTTGCTGTATTAGATGTGTGGTTAGAATGTGAACGTAGAAGTCCCAAGTAATCCAAGCCGTGACAACACGCATCAAAAACCCGTATTATTATTGGCTAGAACGGATGAGAGTTCGAGTATGAAGTAAAAAATAGCCATGGAAGATGCCAGGCCCGACATCTCAACACAACTCTCAGGAGTATGATCTTGATTTGTTGCGTTGTGGGTGAAGGAACGGGTGCTCGGCGCCAAAACAATCTTTCAAGCTAGTAGAACTAGGAACTGGTCTTTTCATGTGTCTATACAATAAGTAATCATACAAAATTTGATAATATATACACAGAGTTGGTTGCGGGAAAATTGGAAATTCAAATAAGATTCATTGATATCCGGGCACTGAGTTTTGATATTAGAATCCCGCTTTGATGAGGATAGGTCCACTAATAACAATAATTCAAGGCTTTGGGCGACCGTTGTCCCATTGTCATCCCTTAACGCAACCATCTTAAAATACGGCGTCGAACCTACTCGAAAAGAACTCGCCACCAGTTCTTCCAACCCTTTTTCGTCGGGGAAGGAGTCTCACCCGCCAAAATCTCAGCCAGGCCTGTAACAAGATCTACTTCCTCCGCAGCACACATCCAGGGATCATTACGGCCTTTTGAGACCTTATGACCAACGTAGAATATCAAACAAATGGGAATCCCAATGTACGCAGTGATGAAATTAGATGTGTCCCAGTTCCCAGCAATGAAGTTGGTGAACCCATTCACTAGCATGAGCAACGTCAGGATGACTCCGCATACATACGACATAATGGGCTGGAAGGAAGAGCGATATGGTAGCTCCTCCACGCGTTGAACATCCGTCGCCTTCCTGAAGCGAAGGTAGATGAAGCAAATACTGATCCAGCTGATGAAAGCTCCCGTGTTGATGAGATTGGCAAACCAATTGAAGACAGTCTTCCCAGACGCCGAAACATTCAAAAAAGCTAGCAAACAAAACGAGGAATTCACCATGACCGACATGTATGGGATCCCGGATTTCGTGCACTTCTTCAAGAATGCTGGAGCAATGCCAGTCAAGGCCATTGAATGAAGAGTCCTGCTTGCCAGGTAGAGATACGAGCTGCCCGCGGAACATGACGAGGTAAGAATGACGGCGTTGATGACGGAGTCCAGGCCTTTGATACCGGCATCTCTCGCACCAATAGCCCATGGCGAAGCTCCAGCTCCCGAAGTACCTCCCAGGAGTTCTGGGTGATTGCTAGGGACAATCAGACCATTGAAAAACGCACCCAAAATATAGAATAGAACAAGCCGATAGAAGTAACGTTTCCCTGCCCTTGGAAGATTCTGGCGAGGTCTCTCCATCTCACCCGCAGTGACCACGAGGAGCTCTGGTGCGAAAGCAAAAGCGAAGACCGAAAATGTCGTGGTAGAGATAAAAGCCACCAGGCGCCCAGAGTCGCCAGAAACGAGGTACTCATTGACGGGACCAGGCTGTGTCCAATAGCGGAACCCAAGAGCGTCCCCTTTCGGCCCCCCGCCACATACAAGAACGAGGGCCATGAAGATCAACCCAACTATCCCAAAGACTTTAAGCGATGCAAACCAAAATTCAGACTCCCCAAACACCGAGACGGGGAAACAGTTCAAGGCGATGATGAGGATCATAAACGCCGTGATCCAAACTGCAGGGTGAACAGGCGGATTCCAATATTGAACCACCAAACTTGCCGCTGTAATATCGTTGGGTACAGTAATAGCGAAGATGTACCAGTACATCCAGCCGAGGGCAAAACCGACACTTGGAGAGACGAAACGACTGCCATAGTATGAAACCGAGGAACCGGGAACCGGAAGATAGGAGCTTAGCTCGGTAGTAGCCGTAACGATGCCGAAAACCAAGAATGTAATCAAGCAGTAAGCAGCTAAGAGAAACACCGGTCCCCCCATGCGAAGACCCTGGCTTGAGCCTACAAAGAGACCAGTGCCGATTGTGCCGCCCAGAGCAATCATCTGGGCATGGCGAGATTTGAGCCCACGCTTGGTTTGAGCATGGTGTGGTTGGGACTGATGTACCCCAACGTCGACGGAAGCTTGGCGAACGTTGGCCTGCAGCTCCGACTTTTCTTTATGATTCTCATCCATAATGGAAAAAAAGATGATTACGTGCCGAAGGGGTAGGAGTATATGCGGTCGTGAAGAGGTGGTTGTGAATCTGTGATTCCTTCATGACCAAAAGACGACGCAGGCATTTTATATTTGAACTGATGAGCTGCTTTCCCTAAGATGATGCAAGCCAATATCGATGATTACTTGGTCTGGAATCCACGGTTGAAGGACTATCTCCTTTACTCGGAATCCCCTTCTCATTTGGGCGGAGCTAGACCGGGAGGTTATTAGGGGGGCGGGGAAGCGGAGCTAAATCCCCTCAAACAACAACGGTTGACTCGCTGATAAGGTCCTCTACCACCTACTACGTTTGCCTAAGAAGCCCGGTGTTTGTTCAATGATGAGTGCAAGCCTTGAGCAGTGGGATTCCCGTGCCACGACGCTACGTTAGCTGCAGGCCATCATCGCCATATTAGAACCCCATACCCCATGGGCCAGTCTCAATCACCTTCCAGTTGAACTCGATCCCCTTTCTCAGCAGAGCAGGGACAAATTTGGGGCAAGCCAGACAAATCACATCGCCAGTGCCGTCGGCCGTCGCTATGCTATCCGCTCCAGTGAGAAAGCGTGCGCGCGGGAAATACTCGTTTGGCGGATGCGGCACCTGCCGCAGGAGGCATGTCAAGTGCGATCAAGTGCGCCCGACGTGTCTGACCTGCAAAGCAGTTGGGGTTGTGTGTACGGGTTACAAGTTGACGCTGAAGTGGATGGCTGATACTGGGGGAGCAACCGGGGAAGCGGGCGAGTCAAGCGATCCACGCTCACGGAAACCAGTCTTGAGTGGCAACTATTTTGAATCCGAACCCCTTGGACAATAATATCATCGACTAACCCTCCGGGAATAGAGCGAGCCCAAGATGATATGAGCGAGGCTCTGAAGTTCTTGGTGGTGGAGCAAACCATTGACTCATGCTTATCGTCACTTGATGATAGCTTCAGGGATGGCCAAGTAAAGAGTGGGCTGGCTATTGGTCCCTTTTCTGTTTTTGATTCTCGTCGGAACCCGGAGTCTCATTTCACCCAACCAGATGAACCCCTGTTTGGTCTTGATTGCTCGATGCCAATTCCCGAACAGGTCAACTTTTCCGACAACACGGAACCATTCGCGTTTATCAACGGCGCCGACAATCTGCTTAGTTGGCCGGATCTTTTCGAGTTAGACTTCCCATTGCATCTGGAACACTCGTGGGTGCCATCAACGTCTGTCGAGGAGGGTGATTCACCCATCCATTTGGCATCACTCACCCAATATCCCTCGAGTCCTCATTTTCTGAATCTCGAACCTATTGGTGAGGCGGAGGGCTTCGACAAGTCTTCCGATGGCTTTCCCAAACCTTCTAATGCTGAAAGGGATCCTGTACTTGACACGCAATTTTGCAGGTCAATCAAAACGGTAAAGTTAAGCCAAATAGAAGCTCAAACGCTCCTAAAGCATTTCCACCACCACACAGTGGCTCACATATGGTCGATGCCAGTGGGTAAGAAATCGCCGACTGATACCCATATAAAATCTGCTGTCGAGACTTTGGTAAAAATCACCTTTATGGACCAGCCCGTTTCACACGCTGCTTTGGCCAATCTTCTTGCTATCCTCGCAGTCTCGGCTCGGCACATGGCCGCAACCACAGAACAGCACGGAGACACAACACTGGAGTACTGGGATGAGTATTCAGAGAAAATGATAAAGCAGGCCAAATGTCACTGGCAACTCTCCCTAAGACATGAAATCAAGCCAAAGCTGGCAAAGTATAAGGAGCACCTTATGGCTGCTGGCGCCCTGCTTTGTTTCGCGGTAAGACAGCAATTACATTTTGCCAAAGGGGTCAAGTTAAGAAAAGAGTTTTTAGATTGTATTTGACCGCCAGCGAGATGCAAGAGCATTCATCATTGATACTGAGCGTCTACTACGAACAATTGGCCTCGCGAAACGGAGAATCTCACGAAAAATAAAATTACTTCACCACACCTACAGCTGGAATAGAATTGTGGGAGAAAGTAGTTTTGTCCTTCGGAAGTACGAGAGTTCCGAAATCGATCTTGCCATTCGTCATCTAAAGGCATCATACGCCGACAGCGACCGATCAGAAGGTCCCGGTAATCAAGGCTCTTCCTGGCTACACGCGGCTCAGAATCCGAGATTAGACGATTTTCTTCGCTTCGAACCTTGTTCCCCAAGTAACCTAGGCGATGTCACCGATCGGACGGAAACTGGCGAGGGTCTGCATGATATTCACCTAGAAGAGGCACAGTGCAAATCAAACCCGACATATATGCTTCTATATGGCATTTCAGAGACGTGGTTAAGCTTACTGTCTCAAACAACAAGACTAGCTAATATCATGGACGGTATTCACTCCACCAAAGGCGAGCTAGACGCTGAGGTTACAGAAGCCATTGAGCAACGAAAGGAAATCCTAGAAAGCATGATATGCTCATATGCTATCACAAACCGTCCCCCCAGAGTCTCTCAAGAGGATCGAATTCAAAGCCTATCACGATCAACCCTCGTGAAGGCATTTAACAGCGCGCTAATCATTTTCTTCTACCGACGGATTAAGAAGATTCACCCTCTGATTCTGCAAGAGCATGTTAACAGCGTAATTCAATCACTGAAGGATTTTGATTCATTTTGCAAGGCAGAGTCAATCGATAGCTCTTGGTCGCCCTGGCCTGCCTTTATTTCGGGTTGCGAGGCTATGCTTCCCGACCAACGAGAGTATATCTCAACCTGGTTCGATCTTGCCTTGTCGAAAACGGGGTTTACGAGGTATAAGACGATTAAGTTATTCATGTTTGATTTATGGAGACGGCAAGACGAGGCGCGAAAAGACAAACCAGGGAGTAAGCATCATCAAACATGGGTTCAGCTGTCTCGAGAACTAAACACGTACATTCTTCTATCCTAACCTTATCTTCGGCATTTGGCAACAGACGAACTCGAGCAGGACGGAAATGAAAGAGGCGCTAGCATGAGATGGGGTAGGCGAAGAACTCTATTTTCTTTCCTATCATCTGATATACGGGAAAATAAGTGAATATCAAACATCAAAGCTCCTTAATATTTCATAAATGGATATATGCATCGCTATTACCCTACCTGTACCATCAAACCCGGCCAACTAAATGTCAAATCCCCAGACTCCTCTCGCCGTTCCCAAACCGTCTTGGCCACCACGCTCGGCTTGTCCGCCTCGATAAAGATACCACGATCATCCATCATCTCCAAACACTCAAACGCCTGCTTCTGTAACTCGGGCGTGGCAGCCTCGCAAGCCGCAATAAACGTTGACCACCCGATACTGATGGCGTAGTCTTGGTCGTGAGTAAACAAGCTGATGTACGGCTGGATAAAATCGAGGGTCTTTTTTACGAGGTCCTGTACGATCATGACGCTCATGTTGTAGACCCTCCGGTAAAAGTAAATAATGATGGCCTTGTGCATGGCTAGGATGAGTGCCTCTACCATCGGTTTATCGAGCGGCGGTGTGTCGTCAGTGACAAGAGCCTGCGGTCGTGCAGGACCGGCAGGAACCTGGCAAGACTGCGGTGACCAGGACCAGACCTGGTGTTCCAGTGTTTTGATATGGTTGGATAAGGAAAGGGCTATGGAGGGGTTGGTAATCGCCGCAAACTCCAGCTTGGGCTTTTCGTTGGCAAGGCTGATTGTTTGTGATAGAAGCGTCATGAGTGACTCCGGGATGCCGTACATGTCTGGGTACAAGGTAGCGGGCCAGATTCCCGAAGCCTCGAGATGAATGTCGTGGTATCCGAGATCCTCAGGCTTAGCACGCATTAAATCCAAGTCTCCAAGATCACTTGGGCTAATACGGAACCTCCTCAGCGCAGCGGCAGAGGCGCCAGATATGTTGACCTGGCTGAGCTCGGGAGAGTCCGAGTTCTCGTTGCCTATCTGCAAGGGAAAGATATTCGTGCTTTCCATAATGACCCTAAGGTGGGTGTACATGTGATGCAGCACCCGAAGACCAAAGGTTTTGTTTGAGGGGAAGCCGCGGAGGCGGATGAGGCGCTCTGCGTCAAGTAGCAGCTTCTTAACTGCTCTAGCTCCATCAAAATATACCTGTGTTTTAGATTATTAGCAACCACGATACAGAATACAGGCTTGCGTTGGCGGGGATTTGAGACTTACCGAAACCACCCCCACTCCCAGGATGGCCATGAGCATCTCCGTATACTTGGCTTGTCCCTCACCTGCGACTTCAGTCCTAAGCGCCGCCTTGAGATGTTCCTGTGCATCTCTTTGATGGCCAATAGCAACTTGCAGCCACTGAGAGCCAGCTTCCGAATGCCTGCCGAGAGATGAATGGAGATGGAATGCGCTCTTGGCAAGAAGAGTACACAGAATACTCAGGCGTGTATTTGAGGTTGTGTTCCATAGTGACATCTCGGCAAATGTTTCCAGGGCGCACGGTAGCAGCATGAGCTTCCAAGGCGACATCCTCGAGTTCGTATTTGATGGGTCCTCTAGCACCTTGGTCTTGAGGTAACGTAGGAGGACAGCAGTATGTGATGGCAGGTTGGGCATACCATCAAGGAAGCTGCTATTTAGCGCTGTTGGTATGGTGTCCAGCAGGCCAGAAGGGACGGTGGTGGATGTCGTGACGGGAAGGATTTCAGTTTCGTTTCCGGAGGAGGTTTCCACCGGAGGCGTCTTGCGACCCCCTTGGGGTACTGTTGAAGATGGGTGTGATGATAATATCGCTTGGCCTAAGAAGGGGTCGCGAGGAGATCTGGGGGGTGTTGCGGCCAGACTCATGTTGAAGCCAGTATCAAAGGGGAACGTCTGGAATTGGTCGACACCAAACTGAATGCCAAGTTGCATCCAATTGTCCAGTTCGTTGAGATCCGCAGCAAATGATGTTGATCCAAACTCATTACTGGCGTCCTGCATAAGAGCAGGGTCTATCACAGATTGGATGGGATCGGTTGCCCAGCGCTCTCCGTTGATCTCCTCGATA